TTAGTCTCTCCTTCACTTCCTTAGTTTCTCCTCCACTTCCTGAGTCTCTCCTCCACTTCCTTAGAATCCCCTCCACTTCCTTAGTCTCTCCTCCACTTCCTTAGTGTCTCCTCCACTTCCTTAGTCTCTCCTCCACTTCCTGAGTCTCTCCTCCACTTCCTTAGTCTCTCCTCCACTTCCTTAGTTTCTCCTCCACTTCCTTAGTCTCTCCTCCACTTCCTTAGTGTCTCCTCCACTTCCTTAGTCTCTCCTCCACTTCCTGAGTCTCTCCTCCACTTCCTTAGTCTCTCCTCCACTTCCTTAGTTTCTCCTCCACTTCCTTAGTCTCTCCTCCACTTTCTTAGTCTCTCCTCCGCTTCCTTATTCTCTCCTCCGCTTCCTTAGTCTCTCCTCCACTTCCTTAGTTTCTCCTCCACTTCCCGAGTCTCTCCTCCACTTCCTTAGTCTCTCCTCCACTTCCTTAGTCTCTCCTCACCCTCCTTAGTGTCTCCTCCACTTCCTGAGTCTCTCCTCCACTTCCTTAGTCTCTCCTCACCCTCCATAGTATCTCCTCCACTTCCTGAGTCTCTCCTCCACTTCCTTAGTCTCTCCTACCCCTCCTTAGTCTCTCCTCCACTTCCTTAGTCTCTCCTCACCCTCCTTAGTTTCTCCTCCACTTCCTTAGTATCTCCTCCTCTTCCTTAGTCTCTCCTCACCCTCCTTAGTCTCTCCTCCACTTCCTTAGTATCTCCTCCACTTCCTTAGTCTCTCCTCACCCTCCTTAGTCTCTCCTCCACTTCCTGAGTCTCTCCTCCACTTACTTAGTCTCTCCTCCACTTCCTTAGTCTCTCCTCACCCTCCTTAGTGTCTCCTCCACTTCCTGAGTCTCTCCCCCATAAGTGTCTCCTCCACTTCCTTAATATATCCTCCATTTCTTTAGTCATTAGTTTCTTCTCCACTTCTTCAGTCTCCCCTCCATTTCCTTAATCTCTCCTCTACTTCCTTAGTTTCTCCTCCATTTCTTCAGTCTCTCCTCCACTTCCTTAGTTTCTCCTCACCCTCCTTAGCGTCTCCTCCACTTCCTGAGTCTCTCCTCCACTTCCTGAGTCTCTCCTCCACTTCCTGAGTCTCTCCTCCACTTCCTTAGTATCTCCTCCACTTCCTTAATCTCTCCTCTACTTCCTTAGTTTCTCCTCCATTTCTTCAGTCTATCCTCCACTTCCTTAGTCTCTCCTCTGCTTCATTAGTCTCTCCTCTACTTCCTGAGTCTCTCCTCCACTTCCTTAGTCTCTTCTCACCCTCCTTAGTGTCTCCTCCACTTCCTGAGTCTCTCCTCCACTTCCTTAGTATCCCCTCCACTTCCTTAATCTCTCCTCTACTTCCTTAGTTTCTCCTCCATTTCTTCAGTCTCTCCTCCACTTCCTTAGTCTCTCCTCTGCTTCATTAGTCTTTCCTCCATTAGTGTCTCCTCCACTTCCTTAGTCTTCCCCTCCACTTCTTTAAATATCTTCCTCCTCTTACAAAGTCTCTCCGTAAGATCCTTCATTCTCTTCGCTTAGTGGTTTTCCTCCCCTTCACTATTTTCTCTCTTCCTCTTTTATTACTCTTTTTTTTCTCTCCTTCGTCTCGTCTTCTTTCATATTTATTCTGTCTCCTTTGTGTGTCATTCACTGTTATCGTACAGATACTTTTTTGACCTCGGTAATATGTCAGTTTGTTAACCTCATGTGAACCTTTACCTTGCTAACCTCATTCAGTCCAATTAATTAATAAAAATATGTTGTTAACTTCGTGAGACACATTTTTATTCACCTTGTTAACCCCATTTCCTGGTGCCAATATTGTTAACCCCATTTCCTGGTGCCAATATTTTTAACCCCATTTCCTGGTACCATTATTGTTAACCCCATTTCCTGGTGCCAATATTGTTAACCCCATTTCCTGGTACCATTATTGTTAACCCCATTTCCTGGTGCCAATATTTTTAACTCCATTTCCTGGTGCCAATATTTTAACCCCATTTCCTGGTGCCAATATTTTTAACCCCATTTCCTGGTACCATTATTGTTAACCCCATTTCCTGGTGCCAATATTGTTAACCCCATTTCCTGGTACCATTATTGTTAACCCCATTTCCTGGTGCCAGTATTTTTAACCCCATTTCCTGGTGCCAATGATTTTAACCCCATTTCCTGGTGCCATTATTGTTAACCCCATTTCCTGGTGCCAATGATTATGACCCCATTTACAGATGCCAATAAAGTTAACCCCATTTCCTAGTGCCATTATTGTTAACCCATTTAACAAGTGGCAATAACCCCATTCATTGTTACCAGCCTAACCCTTTTGTATAAATGCCTTGTTAACCCAATTAATTGGTGCTAATACATTGTTAATACCCATTCTCTATCTCAAATGGTCTTTATCCCCATTCCCATTTGCAAATATTTTGTTATCCCCATTAATTGATATGAATATTTATTGGATCCATCAGTGTGAGAAATCCCCTTAACTATTGTACGTACATAGTTTTACCTATTACTGGTGTATATCAATGGGTAATCCCATTTATTGGAGTATATCCCTATTTAATCTCATTTACTGGTGTATATCCCTGGTTAATCCCATTTACTGGTGTGTATCCCTGGTTAACCCCATTTACTGGTGTAAATCCCTAGTTAATCCCATTTACTAGTATATATCCCTAGTTTATCCTGTTTACTGGGTGTATATCCTTGGTTAATCCCATTTACTGGTGTATTTCAATGGTTAATCCCATTTACTGGTGTATATCAATGGTTAATCCCATTTATTGGAGTATATCGATAGTTAATCTCATTTACTGGTGTATATCCCTAGTTAATCCTGTTTACTGGGTGTATATCCTTGGTTAATCCCATTTACTGGTGTATATCCCTGGTTAATCCCATTTACTGGTGTATAGCCCTAGTTAATCCTGTTTACTGGTGTATATCCCCAGTTAATCCCATTTACTGGTATATATCCCTGGTTAATCCCATTTACTGGTGTATATCCTTGGTTAATCCCATTTACTGACGTAATCCCTAGTTAATCCCATTTACTGGTATATATCCCCAGTTAATCTCATTTACTGGTATATGTCCCCAGTTAATCCCATTTACTCGTATATATCCCTGGTTAATCCCATTTACTGGTATATATCCCCAGTTAATCTCATTTACTGGTATACGTCCCCAGTTAATCCCATTTACTGGTGTATATCCCTGGTTAATCCCATTTACTGGTATAAATCCGTGGTTAATCCTATTTACTGGTGTATATCCCTAGTTAATCCCATTTACTGGTATATATCCTTGGTTAATCACATTTACTGGTGTTTATCTCTGGTTAATCCTGTTTACTGATGTATATCCCTAGTTAACCCCATTTACTGGTATATATCCCTGTTTAACCCTGTTTACTGGAGTATTTCCTTGGTTAATCCCATTTACTGGTATATATCCCTGTTTAACCCTGTTTACTGGAGTATATCCCTGGATAATCCCATTTACTGGTACATATCCCTCGTTAATCCCATTTACTGGTATATATCCTTGGTTAATCACATTTACTGGTGTTTATCCCTGGTTAATCCTGTTTACTGATGTATATCCCTAGTTAACCCCATTTACTGGTATATATCCTTGGTTAATCCCATTTAATGGTGTTATCCCTGGTTAATCCAATTTACTGGATATATAATCCTGGTTAACCCTATTTACTTGTGTATATCCCTGGTTAATCCCATTTACTGGTGTATATCCCTGGTTAATCCCATTTACTGGTGTATATCCTCTGGCTAATCCCATTTACTGGTATATATCCTTGGTTAATCCCATTTAATGGTGTTTTTCCTTTTTAATCCCATTTCCAAGTGGATATTCCTTGTTAACCCTATTTACGGATGCTAATGCCGTTTCAAATGTGTTATATTTTGTTTCTCACTTTCACATAATGTTTACACTTTAGTAAATATGGTTGTGAGTGTGTCAGTCTTGTTTGGAAATATTTTAATAATGAAAAATATTTCTGTTCAGGCACTTTGTGGTATGTGTGTGTTTTTCAGTTTGTTTGCTTTTTTTTTCAATTAAAGTGTAAAAAAAATTCGTTCCTATATATTTTTTTTCATTTTTCGTTTTTATGTCTTTAGGATTTATTTTTTTTTTTTATTTGCCTGGAGTTGGATTACGAGGAAGCATTTAGTAAGGGCACCGTCATAGTGGATTAACTTTGGCGCTCATCACTTGTTTTTGTACTTAGCCGTAGCTTGAAGTGAGCCAGTTAGATGCATTCTCATATATCTGGATCAGAGAAAGATAATAATTAATGTTACGAGCCCTTTAGAAGATGGTAGTTTAACTCTTTTGTTTGTTTGTTTGTTTGTATGTTTGTTTGTGTGTTCGTTTGTTTGTTTGTTTGTTTGCAACCACAGGGGACCTCCAGATAGTTTTGTCCCACCAGGTAGCTGACAGGTCCTCCTTCCTCCTTCATCTGGTAATTTTCTTCTGGTTTCTCCCCATCAGGTTGTTAAATGGTTCTTCTCCTGGTTATTTCCCACGAGGTAATAAGCAGATTCTCCCCTCACCACGTAGCTTCACTCCATAGTTCGTCTCCTTCTGGTTAAATAATAAATTGGTACTTCCCCCATCAGTTAGTTAACAGGTTCCTCCCTTACCTTTTAAATAACAGGTTCTTCCCCTACCAGGTCAATAACTGTTCTTTCTTATTAGGTAACTAACTGGTCTTTCCCTGCAAGGTAATAAACTCGTTTTTCCCCTACAAGGTAACAAAAAGGTTTTCCCCTTCCAGGTATTTAAAATGTTCTTCCCCTACCAAGTATCTAAAAGTTCTTCCCTACCAGGTAACAAATAGTGTACGTTCTTCCTTACTAGGTATATAAAAGGGTCTTCCTCTACCAGGCAGCAAGTATGTTCTTCCTTATTAGGTATCTATAAGGTGTCTTCCTCTATCAGGTAACTCACAGGTTCTTCCCCCTACAGGCCAGCACTTGAAGAAGGACTCATTATCCGAGTCCTCTTCCGACATCATGGAGCTTGAGGAGGGCATCCTGTTGCAGCACGACCTTAGTAAAAAGCAGAACTGTAACCCGCGCCACAACAATAACATAAACGCCATGAGCATCGAAACTGACGTCTGACACTTGTGTGAGTACCACTTGTGTGTTTTACCTCTTATTATGTATTTTGGGGGGAATAGGGAGGTTCTACGATACCTTGAAGTACAACGCTTGGAGTGCGACCTTGATGTTTGATCGCTTGGAGTATGACTTGATGTATCCTGATCCGGCGCGGGATTTACTTCTTAGGTTATCTGTGTCAGTCTGTCTGTCAGTTTGTAATACTGTTAACTGTCAGACTGTAGAGATGGACGCTGACCAGGAACAGCTGCTGGACTTTCACTCCTGAAGAAGGTCACGCCTAGTGGGGACGGGGGGAGGAATTGTTGTCGATGTAAAGCATGCCATCTCATCCACGTCACGGAGGTCATGGGCCATCTAGTGGGTGTGTGGCGGGCCGTGGCTCGTGGAGTGGTACGTGGCATGGCGTGGTACTTACGTGTTTTGTGGCCACTTGGAGTACGACCTCATGTGTTGTGTGGCCACTTGGAGTACGACCTCATGTGTTATGTGGCCACTTGGAGTACAACCTCATGTGTGATCACTTGGAGTACGACCTCATGTGTGATCACTTGGAGTACGACCTCATGTGTTGTGTGGTCACTTGCAATACAACCTCGGGTGTTGTGTGACCACTCGGAGTACGACCTCTTGTGTTGTGTGGTCACTTGTATTATGACCTTATGTGTTGTGTGGTCACTTGGGTACGACCTCCTGTGTTATGTGGTCACTTGGATACGATTTCATGTGTTGTGGTCACTAGGAGTACGACCTCATGTGTTGTGTGGCCACTTTAAAATCGACTTCATGTGTTAGGTGGCCACTTGGAGTACGACCTCATGTGTTGGGTGGCCACTTGGAGTACGACCTCGTGTGTTTGGTGGCCACTTGGAGTACGACCTCATGTGTTTGGTGGTTACTTGGAGTACGACCTTATGTGTTGGGTTCTCTACTTGGAGTACTACTTCGTTCAGGTATATGGATGTTTTTTTCGCTTTTGATTTATTTCGTTTCATGTCAATAAAGTACATTCTTACATCTTCAGTTATGAGTGTTAGGGGATTAAGGAGTGGAAATCAGTAAGTTTCACGAACAAAACGTATCACTTATGTTGGATGAACTCGTACGTAGGGTACCCTACATACAGTACATCCCTTCATTTGCATTTATTTTTGTCATGCATTACTAAACCGTAGCATGTTTGTCTACCCCACCTTACCTCACTCTAGCCACCTGTTTCACACTCAGTAACACTTACCTCTATTCTCTCAAGTTCTTAACTCAGCGTTTCGCATTCTTAATAGTACGTTCCGTCATTTTTCCTCTACGTTTACACCGCGTCGAAGTCATTAGAGTATCTTATCAGTCACTTCTTTCTGCCGTATCTTCATATCTTTGTTCGTCATTCCGTCCATCACCTCACCCTTCACCCATATCCTCTAGAAATACGCCACCCTCGTGTGCAATTTTTGTATTATTATGTTCGAGAGACGCAGGCCCTCGACAGATCCACATACTCTCACTTACACAACTTCCCTGGGAGCTCTAGCAACTTGCCAGCATCTCACTACTTCTACCCGGTTTCTCAGCATCCATTCCTTCAGCTTATCTAAATATTTTCTTCAAGTATTTGAAATTCTAAGTCCTCGCCAACCTCTCACCGCCCACCCGTACATGACACTGACTCCATTTTCTCAGACAACTCCACCTTTCTCTTGTCAACATTCATTTTTGCTCTTTGTCTCATGCTTTTTATTCCACTTTGTATCAGTTTCTTGTGCTATGCTTCGTATACTACACTAACAGCAGCGCTCAAACCTTCCACTACAAGTCAGATTTTTCGAGTGTTACTCCCGTGCCTTTTTTACCCCCAAGCTCCTCCTCTCCCAACACCGTCTCAAAGAACATTAACGTTTATTAAAGTTTATAATCAGAACCCACACCAACTCCACTCTATTGAAAGATGCAACGTTACCCCAGTGACAACCTTGGCAACCCTACCACTTACAACATTAGATCATAAAAAGACGGGATGTTCTTAGCAGAAACACAAGTACCTGTCCGAGACTCCCCACCATTGGCTTGGACATAAGACCCGAAAATGTAAGGCATAAAATTGCAATATTTGCTAAACAGACAAACACCTACATAAATATAATACCTAAGACGAAAATTAGCTGAAACACAAACATGAGAAAACAGAAGCACTTGGGTTGAACCCCAAGACCTAGCATTCTACTACTATTTTCCAATTTCCTCGCTTTTCCTCTTGCACTATCCACCAACCCCAAGTCCCTCCAAATTCCACCATTATTCTTGAAGTCCAGTTCCCTTACCACCAATCTACGTACCAGCATCAAGATCTCTTCATACTTTGCTTCACCCATCGATCGATCAGAGACATCGGTACAGGTCCAATGACTGTAATGTATGGTACACTCGGAAACCATAATCTCTAGCCCACCTGGGTCGGTTTTGGAGGTTAGAACAGTGTCCTTTCTGGATGGGGGCCCACTCATACTATCACGAGGCAATACACGCACGAACACACAGTCATAGTACGGCTGTATAGATGATATTATGTATAAATATTGTATATGGCATTTTATACCCTGCATTATCTTCATTATATATGAACACGAAGAAAAAATACCATAGGTTGTAGTTACGAAAGTATGAATGGAAATAAACACTTCCAAACCACCCACTGAATCCACACAACGTGTGTGTGCCAGACCACGATGCTTCCCATCATTCGCATAACTATATGAAAAATCGTGTTTAATTTAACTACATATTTCAAAAACCTTAAATTACACGTGGATCAGTCACTCCTCATTTGACACACTTATAGTGTAATACTTTGACCATCCCACCTGGGCACATGGAGGCCCACGGTAACTCTCACTGGGCAACATACGCACGAACACACAAGTTATGATATGAACTCTTCCAGGCTTCACTATCATTATCATGTTATGTTCACCGTGCTCTGTATCTTGGTAACTAGTCATAGTATCAATACATGACAGTGTTATTAATATAATATTGTAACTTTTACTCTACAGTTATTGTTGTAAATCATGGGCAGGAAGGATACATAAATTGTAATATGTATGGTTCGCTCAAAGCCACCCCAAGTCAGACAACGCGTCACACAAAGTTACACTGTGTGTGTGTGTGTGTGTGTGTGTTCTGTAACATTAAGCTTCATCCTTAGTAGGTAAGATGTTTCATAAAGAGGTTTCTCCCATTCGTCATTGTGAGCATCGTCCCAGAGCACATTGTTTCCATCAAAACCATGGTTCATCCTTATTTCCCTTCTTCCGTGTAACTATATCCATATGGCTAAGTGCTTGGTTTTCATTTCTTTATTTACCAAAATAATGTGGATCACTTACTCGTTATTTAACACATACATGCACTTAGAGCATCAGGATTGTTTTGTAGGCATGACTATTGGTTAATTGAAACCCCAAAAATATTTTTCACATTTATTATGCATAAACATTGTAAATATATCTGTGATTATTGTAGTATATAACATATATTTAATGTCTGGACAGATTCCCCAGAGTTATGCATATTAATGCATAGATTTTGTAAGCATATTTATGCGAAGTGACGTAGAACCACATAGTAAAATATCTGGACAAATTCCCGAGAGTTAGGAAACGAAGTCTATGTGGCCCCAACGAGGTTACACCAGAGAGCTAACTCCCCCGCCACCCCCTACAAGGCACCGTCGTGGGCGGAGATTTAATTCTTGACCACAGGTTAATACCGTGTCCAACCTCCATCTGCTGCTATAACTTCATGCAATCTGGTGGGCATGGAATCTACCAGATTGCAGCAGATGTTCAGCCTCCTCTTTATTCCCTCCCACACATTATGTGCGTGTCTCCTCACTGCCTCCCTCATTTTCTCCCCAACATCCCATTCAACAACCATATGCGCCCATAGATTTTCTATTGGATTACAATTGGCTCCTTTAGAGGGCCAGTCCAATAGAATAATCTGCGGGTGCGCCTCAAACCAACGCTTGACTGCCTGACTTGTATGTATTGGACTGCGGTCTTGCACCATACATATAGGCTGTGGGTCTGGGATGGCATATGAGTTGCTAGGAGGATGGTTAGCAGTCCTGTTGAACTGGCAGGTAGACAAAATAGAAAACTCACAGCCAAACTGTAAGAAAACACATGGGCAATAAGACATTAGTAAAATATACTAGGTCATTTTAGCGCGTGCACACACATTATATACAGACCTATTGGTCCTTGCGAGGCTGTTTGGTTATGCTATGCTAACTAGTTTGCTAGGGTGAAGGTAAGTATATATATATATATATATATATATATATATATATATATATATATATATATATATATATATATATATATTTATATATATATAACTCTTCTCAACAAATGCAAGGATGTTGCCCCGTGAGAGTTGCCGTGGGTCTCCATGTGCCCAGGTAGGATGGTCAAAGTATTACACTATAAGTGTGCCAAATGAGGAGTGACTGATCCACATGTAATTTAAGATTTTTGAAATATGTAGTTAAATTAAACACGACTTTTCATATAGTTACGCGAATGATGGGAAATAAAAGATATAGATGGGGTGTGGTGGAATCATCGAGGTCTGGCCACAAGCGCTGTAAACGTTGTGTGGACTCACTGGGTGGTTTGGAAGTGTTTATTTCCATTCATACTTTCGTAACTACAACCTATGGTATTTTTTCTTCGTGTTCATATATAATGAAGATAATGCAGAGCATAAAATGCCATATACAATATTTATACATAATATCATCTATACAGCCGTACTATGACTGTGTTGTTCGTGCATGCGTTGCCTCGTGATAGTTAGAGTGGGCCCCCGTCCAGAAAGGACACTGTACTAACCTCCAGCACCGACCCAGGAGGGCTAGAGAATATGGTTTCAGAGTGTACATCAACATGTTTTTAGGCTGTATATTATTTATCACTCCAGGGTCCAAAATGCGTTATCTTTATCTTT